TATTATTTGTAATATGGTAAATGAAAGTTTAGTAAAAAAAAGGTTGAAAGCGGCTATTAATTTGCATTTTAAATTTGAAAATTTACGCGACCACTTTCGGACTTCGTAGGTTTCGCCTTCGAAGTTACGTAGGAAGGAAGCGAAGCAACGTGAGGAGCGGAATATTGATAAGGGCGCCACAGGCTCGATTCCTACCTCCTGAGGGAGGCGAAAAGTAAAATTCGGATGATGCTGCGGATCGAAGGACAGGGAAACGTACCAGGTTTTATTCTGAACTGAATAAAGCATCAGTGAATTTTAAGTGATCATTTATTTCAATGCATTTCTAGCAAATGTAACCTTCAAAATATTCAGCGAAACCTAAAAGAAACTAATATTTCGAAAAAAATTTTAATGATTGTATGGGTAAATTAACAGAGTTTGCTTTAATAAACGTTTTGCCAAAAGAATTCCGAATGACTCGGTTTCAACGACAACTAAAACAGTGAGTGGTGAGCATTGGTGACTATTCCAAATGACTCGGTTTCAACGACAGCTAAAACAGTGAGTGGTGAGCATTGGTGACTATTCCAAATGACTCGGTTTCAACGACAGCTAAAACAATGAGTGGTGAGCAGTGGTGACTATTCCAAATGACTCGGTTTCAACGACAGTTAAAACAGTGAGTGGTGAGCATTGGTGACTATTCCAAATGACTCGGTTTCAACGACAGCTAAAACAGTGAGTGGTGAGCATTGGTGACTATTCCAAATGACTCGGTTTCAACGACAACTAAAACAGTGAGTGGTGAGCATTGGTGACTATTCCAAATGACTCGGTTTCAACGACAGCTAAAACAGTGAGTGGTAAGCGTTGTTAATTCGTGAACGTTGTTTTTTTTAGAAAAAGGAGTCGATAATCGAATCCTTGGCGATAAATGTAGATTACTGGATTTCATCATTACCTGGATTTCTGAAGGATAGTTATTCTACTATCCTTCTACTCTCATTTGTTTTCTCCGTTAGGCGACTCTGCCGCCAGACGAAAAGGCGCCGGCAGGATTCGAACCAAAGGCTCGATTTTGGCACCAAACCGCCTACAATCTTATTTAGCATACCGCTCAGTAATTGAGAAATATGGTCAATAAGTAAGTAAAATACCGATTAATCGATGATCGAATAATTTAAAAATAGAAACGAACGCACAAAAAATCAACTTCGATTAGATCGCCTTAAGCAAATGATTGAAAGGTGTAAACAAAAACAAAACAATGCAAGGACGGGGTAGTCAGCAGAGTGTCGCTGAGTGTCGACGTCGCTGTCGTTGCTATCGCTGATGTTATCGTCTATGAATCTAATTTACTGCGCCATCTAGATCATGAACTATTTTCAGCGAATGCTTCGAATGTCTAGCTCATGCATATATGCGAAAATCAGTGACCAATTGTTAAGCTGCCCGATTGTCAAAAAGCACATTCTGTGCACTCTCGGCGATTTTAGCATCTCTCTGCATCTATCAACATGAACACTCTCAAAATCTTTAATGCTTTATGGATGGCATTCTCGGATTGATCGAGAAATGTTCGACTTCTGGATGCATCCATCGTCAGCCTTCATAGCTCCTTTCCATCTTTTTTTCTAACATACTACCATATCTCATACATACTACTTTAAAGATCGTTTAATTTTCGCAAATTTAGTTGATATTTGAAAATTTTATTAAAATGAAATTTATTTATTCTTTTATTTCATTCCATTAATATCTAATTCTGAACTCAATAGCATAAACTTGATGTGGGCAGCACAGCCGAGTGGCCATTGTTTAAATTATCTTTAATCTTGGAAATCTTTTTATGCAACATTTTTTTATGTAATGTGCCATTGCGCCACTGCTTTTTTTGTATCTGAATAGAGTTACTGTTATTTGCAAATTTGAGTAACCTTATATGTTATTCATACTTTTTTATAATTTCACTCTAAAACAACTCGATGATCAAAATTCAGCGCAGTGAGATCTTCTGTGTTATCATAATCCGTCTGTTTAGGTTATCTTATTCTGCTGCACTTTTATATTGTATCATCGTCTTTATCAACACTGCTTCAATAAAATATTTGCCAGATATCTAGTACATGCACTTGACGATTGACACTTGACACACTTGACGAAACTTATTTTATACATGATGATGTGATCTGGTCCTCTTTTCTTGACAGGACATAAATCTCTTGACATCAGTTTCAAATATCAAAAAAATTTCGGTTGATCTACCATTTTTTCTACACAAAAATGATTTATACAAAATAGCTCATCCTTATAGCCAAGAGAATAAGCTTAGCTAGTTAGATCGCCACTCACTACTGAACATTGTCAATTTTGAAAATTTTGATTCGTTTTCGAATTTGAATTATTGTAATTATTATTGAATTATTGAATTTTGATTCGTTTTCGAATTTGAATTATTGAATTATTATAGAAATAAGAATATTATAAAATAAAATTCTAATTATTAAGACCTTTATGATATTATCAAATACATAAACTTAACTTTTCTATCAGCTGATTTAGTGGTACTAAGCTTATCATTCTTCTTTTTCTTATAGATGAGTATGCTTTTAAAGGCTATGCCATGGGTTTCGGAAATAGAAATGTTATTAGTATCGATGAACTGTCCAAACTGCTCAGATTAACATAGTCAATGGTTAATGACTGAAAAGTGCATATGAATGGACTTTTTCTAACAGTTCTCACTGTTTTACTGGTTAGGCTGACTCCGCTAGCTATAAGGTCTCCAGGCTCTTTGGTCTGATGCCATCGCTGACAGTAATAGAATCCATTCCTTTTTTACCATAAATCCATATATCACCATACGTTCAAAATTTTTCTTGACTCTAGGTCACTCTAGGTTTTGAATGGTCCTCTTCGCATTTGATGCCATCCATTATAGGGAACTAGTGAAATTCAACTATCAACTCCTGTTGGTGCACGACGGAGGATGAGCTCTAACCAGCGAAGGTGATACTTTGTGGTGGTGCTGTAATGCAGATGGTAATTGAGCGAAGGTACATATCAGCTCAACAGATCCATAAAATGTATCTTAGAAAGATAGATAACTTCTTCATATCACCCACTCATCAATCATATCTCGCAACCACTTAGCAAGATCATGGAACTACAGCTATATAAATGTGGACTTTCATTTTTATACTGATTTTGCGACGGTTGCATAAATTTTTCATCAACCGGAAGAATGCATTTCTTGCTACCGCTATGTTGTTTATAATTTTGTCTTTTGGCTATTTAGGGTTAAAGTGAATCCATGATATTCAAAACCATTTGCCATTTCCTCAGTCTGCATTGATTTAAATGGGTATTTTATTATCTTCTATTAAGACGAGAAGATTTTTGTTTCATTTGCATTGATCATGAATTCCACTCTCGTTGCAGTTGTCGACACATTCTTTAGCATTATCTGCATGTCATCATATCAGCAAAAAGGATTACATATATTACATATATTATATATTTATTTATTGCGTGTATCTGTTTAATGCATCTCGAAACGAAAGTTTGACCACAGTACTTTTCCATTGGCATTAATGGTTGTTCTTGCATCTAAATATTTTTATTACATATAATTGTAAATTTTTTTTGGTCGTATTTGATTGTTTTATGTGTTCGGAGAAGAGGAAATTTAATTGTAGGTATGAAAGAGATAAAAAGTGTGTTAACTTCCAATCAATTAATTCCTTTCAGTGAAAGTAATAAGCGGGAATGTAGTGGTCCACAGTGGTTAGTAGCAGTGGCTAATTCGGGTCTCAGATGTAATATATAGTTTTCTACAGTTTGGAATTTATGTTTACTGTTGTTATTATAAGCTAAACTGAATACTTCGTCGTAGTAAACAAGAATCTACACCTTTCACTGTTCTCACATCTGTTATAACATGATAAATGCTCCCATTTAAAAGTGATGTCTACCATATTAATAAATAAGCAGCTGTGCTGTTTTTTTGTTTCGAAACTTGCGAAACCACTCTTTTTTGCTTCTAATAAAGCCTTCTGGATAATTTTTCTAGAACGGTTACGATTGCTGCCCTTCTTTGGGGAATTCCTCGCATCGAAGTTTGTCTTCTGGTTTTTTACGAATATATTTTACAAATATTGGCTTTATTTTTATTTCAGTTTCCATTCATTAAGGGAAAAATACACGAAGTTTATTTTTACTCGTTGCGAATAGTAAACCTTAATTAATTAATTGATGCATGTGGGTCGCGCGGCAGTCCGTCAATCCGGTATTTTTTCAGCTGTTTTTCTTTTACGTCCCTTTGTTTTTTTTTGTAGGAATACTGCTCTGATCCAGTTTTCTATTAGTCTTTTAGTCGTAGTATTAAATTATATTTCTCTTAAAAAATTGAAAATGGTACTAATCGAAAATTGGAAATGTGGCAGTATAACTTACGATGAAAAGAAAACCATCTGGATTTTATTTTCTTAAGTGTCATTTTTTCTTATTTTATTTAATGATGTAAATTATATTGAATTATATATAATGTAAATTATATGAAATAGAAGTAAATTATATTGAAAATTTAGTGAATAAATTATTTTTTCTTTATTCAAAAAAATTATAATTTAATTCCGTGAAATATATTGTTTCATTTATTCAAAAACAATCTTTTAGTGTTATTTGCTTTTTTTTTAATTAATCAGTGAAGTTTAAAAGTAATCAAAATAAAAAATTTGCAGATATACAAGCTGATCCTTCTTATTATGTGTGGAATCCATTATTTTGTGGATAAGACTTAATTCTAATTAATTCAATTTTTGTTTATTCTTGCAGGTCCTCCAAAAATCCTTTACTTACTTAGAATTTGTATTTCTTTGGCTTATTTAGGGTTCAGATTGGTCGTATGTTTTATTTTGTATTTGTTCATCGCATGTTGGCATAGATCCATTCTTTTTATTTTCATGCCAAAATTGTTATTGAATGGAATGTTATTCGACTTCTAAATTTTTCATTGAATGTATCGGAAGTATGTTTAGGCAATATGAATGAGAATATGAGAAAGCTTTGGATACAAATGATATCTTCAGAAATATTTCTGAAGTGCACTTATTTTTCTTCCATTCTTGTCAGGAAAATATGTTTTAACCCATCTTATATATATTTTTGAAAATATCAAGATTTTAGTTCGTATTAATGCAACTGATTCGAAGAGGGTTCTCGATGACGCTACGAGAAAAAGACGTCTTTTAAAACAAATTGATGCCTTGGAACAGGTATTATGATAAATTTTTGCTTTTGGTGTTTTTTGATTTTACAAATAAAATCTAACTATCTAAAGTATTTAAAATGTTTTCTTTAGGATAACTTTCATGAAGATCCACATGCTCATCTTCACTGGCATAAAAATATACCAAAGTTCGACGATGTGCAAGTTCAAGGTTCACTGCCAGGTCGAAGAACCATTACTGACCATGGAGAACCAGGTAGAACTTTTCGTAATTTTTTCATATGGTTAATTTTTTTCCTTTTTTGATTTCTTAAAATATATAATTTATCAAAAATGTAAAAATATCGGCGTATTTTTTTATATTTCATTTAATTCATCTCTTATAATTCATCTGTATAAATATTTCAATATTTTTCAGCGAAAAAAAAAAGAAAATTGCGCACTGAACATTTTAAACAACGTTTTCGAAAAAATTTCATGGCATTGGTGGAGGAGGAAACTGTAAATTTTTATATTTCAAAATATTTCACTTTTATCACCATTGAAAGAATCTTTAATAAGATATTCATTATTTTAATTTATGTTTATAATCTTGACTTTTATTTATTTATTTCAGGCTTCAAAAACTGTTGATAAATCTGGTTTTGAAGCTTATGACAAAACGCGTGCTCCTCCAAGTCGATTACCTCCAAGGCATTTCTGTACTGCATGTGGTTTTTTTTCAAAATACACTTGTATTACATGTGGCGCTCGTTATTGTTCAATTTCTTGCAGGGACCTTCATAATGATACTCGGTTAATTTTTTTCTTAATTGATTAAAGGCGATTTTGTTTTTTGATGTTTTAATATTATTCTCGGTCTACAAATTCCTTTCGTAGTTAGGAAAAAATTTGTTGCTGAAGAAAGAATTTTTTTAATCTTTGATTTTTAGAATGCACCTATGGAATGATTTTAAAGGACTTTTAAATATTTATTACTAATTATTTTCTTTTCTTTTTTAGCCCACATTCAGTCTTATTTTATTATAGTTGTCTAAAGTGGACGGCTTGATAGCTTCTTAATATATTATGCAGCCATTTAAGAATATTCGCTTCAAGTTAGAGACGTTTAATGTTCATCGTTTAGCAATATCGAAAACATCGATTTGCATCATTCATTTTTTATATGAATCATTCCTGCTACTTCTGCATGTTTTATTGGTTGTCAAGACTATTTTGGTGTAATTATTCGTTTATCTATCTAGAAAAATAAAAATAAAAATTTCAGTTTCGAAACAATTTTTTTTCTTCAAAGTAGGTTCGAAGTTCCCAGGTCACTCGTAGTAATGCATTTGGTGTAAATATTCGCTTGCCACTACGTAACTGTCGTTAAGTAGTAGAAAAACTGTTCTTTTTGCCAATCTTTATGCATGGGAATTTAGGGGGCCTTTGTTTAAATAATGTATTAATATCCATATAGTTGTGACCAAACTGAGGAGTTTGTTGAACAGGCTTATAAAATTATTGTATGAATCGAGGTCTTCCAGCTTTCTACATTTTTTCTATATCTATTTTTTTTGACCGGTTGCGAGTACTGACTCTAAAGCCGCAAAATATTTCGTTGATCACTTTGTATTGAGGTACAAAAAGCCGATATTAACTGACTAATAATGTGCCCATTTTTAATTAATATAGTTGTTAAAACCTTGTAATAGTTGAAATTTAATAAAAAAACCTGTTGGCCGAAATCGTATTTCTCAATAAATCAAATGAATTAACATCATTATAAAACTAATGCGCCTATAATTTCTATTCTACTATGTCGCGGATAAAGAAACTTAAATTTCGCTGAATAACTCCAGTAAAGCCTCTTCGTTTTGCTATTGTTTAAACTTGAAACTTGATGAAACTTTTTTTAAAAAATAATCGAAGATTTTTACATATTAAACAATTTTCAGTCGAAGAAAGAAATGGAAAATTTGAGTTTAATTTTGGCGATTCCGATTCCTTTTTTTGTTTACTTAATTTGGCAATTTAACGTTTCTTTCTCTTGTTAAGAAGATAGATGTTAAGAAGAACCTACTTCGTGTGCAAATTAATGATGCTGGTGATCTTCCTCCTCTATCTTCTAAGCGATTCTCTGAAAAAAGCAGCAGGGGTATATTGAGGGTTTAAAATTGGAAAGCTTGCAGTGAAACAATTTGCGCCTCTTTCAATTCTTAATTATAGTGAAAATTTGCGTTTAAAATATATATATATATATATACTTGCTAATTATTTTATAAAAAATAGCCAATTATCTCAAAACTTATATTTTTAATTTTAACTCTTATCACTTGTTTTTTATTGCAAAATGAGTTGTGAATTAATGTCATTGGCTTGGGTTTGCTGCTATTCAATCGGGGACAGGAAATTGCTGAAATTTTTTTTTTGATTATCAATGAATGAAATGATTATAAATTCACTTTCGAGGAAGAGAATTTTATTCAAAATTGTTTAATATATTAAAAAATTTTTACTTTATATATCTAAAAAATAATAAATAATGTAACTATGTGGTTCATATTGAAAACGATGATAATTGGTAGTTAAGTATGTGAGTCGCACTGATAAGCAAACTAATTTGAAATTATATAAATTATATAAATAAATTATAAATTATAATATTATATAATATTATATAAATTATAAATAAATTATAAATTATAATTACAAAATTATAATATTATAATTATAATAATAGATATCAGCTGGATAAACAAAAAAAAATCAAATTATGGAAATGAAATAATGTGATTACAAATTATATTTTAGTTGTCAAAAGGCGAATGCAAAAAAGCTACTATAGGGTCATGAAACTGGAAGTGGAATTTGAACCAGAATTTTATCTTATCAATAATTATAGTCACTGATCATTGAAGGATTAATTAATGAAAGGGAGGTTGACAAGGCAGCTTTCGTCAGCCCATTACTGATATTGTTATAGTGTGTCGTACTATCATTACAATGTTAATTATTGTTTTAGCCGTTTTATTTGTTAAGAAATAGCTGAAAACTAATAATAAATTAAGAATTATCTAAAGAAATGAAGCAGATAAGATTCATAAGAGATAAATTTATAATAACAAAAACAATAGTAGTAGCAGAAGTGCCGTACATTCAACCGCTGCACTTTGATTTGAGTTGGGCAAATCTGCTATTAAAACGTGAACTACAAATGGTATCGAGCTCGCATCTGCATTTTTATCAGTCTTTATCAATTCAAACTTTCTTATCCATCGGATTCAACATGAATTTAAGCTTATAAATATGTCACATTTTGTGAATTTAATTGTTTCTTCTTTCTTTCCGATCTTCTTATGAATCTTCTTTTTTTGCTTTTAAACGGTAATTGCTCTCTTAAAAAATTATTTTCAAGCATTAATTTTCAATAATTACTAATATTTACTAATATTTTATATAATAATAATTCATAATTTATTCATAAACTTCTTTGCTTCAATAACGTAAAAATAAAAAAAGTATTTTTTCCTGTAGTTTCTTTATGGCAAATTTACTTTAATGAAATCGAATATTTTAAATTTATTCATTTGTCACGTTTTCATCATTTCTAAAATATTTTTTAAGAGCTATTTGCCTTAAAATTTGTACTTTGATTAGATTTTTAATTTGGGTTCGGCGAACCGGTTTTGCCAATTTTTCTTAAAACATGAAAATAAGAATAATTTTTCATGAAATCAATCAATCACTATCAATGAACCACGGTGAAATATCGAGATTTATGCCGAGATTTTAGATAATTTTCACATTTTGCTGAAAATTCTCCAATTAAATTTGCAAGCTGATTTCATAACGAAAAATGGTTTTTTGCATTTTTTTTACATTTAACATTTAAATTTATAAATTATATTTTTTATGTTATGTTTTGTATTTATTTATTTACAAATTAAGGCCACGCGTTTTTATTATTATTAGAAGAAATTTCATGAATTTATAAATTTCAGATCATAAATTTTAGATTTGTTGGAGTGAAACTATGATGATATTGGATACTGCTTATTACTTCCATTATTGTGATCATTCATAGGGCTAGATTTATCTTCAAAAAAATCCAGTTTTTGAGAATCCATCTGTACTTCTATCTCCAAATGACCCTTTGGTAAAACTGTCTCATCCTATTTGCCAATTAAGCAGATCCAAGCAAAAATGATGACTGTCTGCCAAGCATATAAACGATGAAAAGAAGACGAAAAAGGAAATATAGGCTGAAGGAAATTATGCCATTATGCTTACTAAAAAGAAATAATTAAAACGCCGATAATGGAATAAATAATGAAATAAATTTGTTGATAATCATTGAAGATCGAAATATTATTAGACCAACAAAATCGAAATTCCACCTATATTTTTCAGCGATTCATTTGAGCGTTAATCTTATATTTTACCATTATAAGAATGGACAAAAAAATTTGCATTGTCGCGATCATTTATTCCACTTAATCTAGTTAAAATCACATGGCTGTGGGAAACTCACATTGCCCAATTTTTGCCCAATTACTTTTACGCCTGATTAATTTAACTCGCCTATTCAAACGAGTCTTTAGTAGGCGATACGAGTTTTATCAATTTTAATCTTTATAGGGGTGCAATGACCGACGCGATCTGACGTGATACGATCCTTCTTTACGAATAGCGAAGTCACAAAAATTTTCTCTTGATCTCCTAAAAATTTTCTTCAACAACTGGATTTTTTATAAAGAATTTTTTGTAAAACTGTCATTATGCGTTTCAGCGTTTATATTTGCCATTCTCTTTGGATTTTTTTGCTTTCCATAATTTTTTCGACAGATTTTTTTTCTCATGGAATTTCTATTTATTATTTAATTTTTATTTGAAAATTATTTTTAAAAAATGGTGAAATGAATGGTGAAATGAAGTATTTGGCTTATTTTGCTCGATAAAATTCGAAAAATCGTCCATTCATAATTATTTTGTTAATAGATGGAAGAAAAAAACTCGGCTTAAAGGAAATTATTTAAAGCTGATGATAATAAATAAATGAATGAGTTGATAATTTTTGAATGAAAATAATGAGAAAACAATTTTTTTCAAAAAAATTCACTTTTTTTCTGTTATCAGCTGGATATCGGATGAAAATTAACGATAAAAAAATATCAAAGCGAAATTGATAACATTATTTTTAAAATACTTTAATAATTTATACATTTATATATTAGATTTTAAATGTTTGACTGTTTAGATTAAAATTAAAATTTAAATATTTTGGCATTCAAATTGATGTTTGAATTCTGGATTTATATCAAAAGTAATATCAGAAGTAAGACTTAGGAAAATCTGATATTTCAGCAAAAAGCACTTATTTGCACGCACGTTTCGTCAGACCATCTTTAGAAATAATCGTTATCCTTTAATTTTTTTGTAAATTGTAAATTGTAAATTTTGTTTTGATTATAGGTGTAATTTCGGTTTCCTTTATCAAAGAAATCAATTTTTTGGTAAATGTATCATTTTAAAATTTTAAATTTTCTGTCAATGGCTTCGATTTCATGAGAAAATTAAACGGATTTCGAATTATTGAGAATTTTAAATTCGTGACGAAAATTTAAAGGATGTGAATCTAATATTTCCAAATTTGATAGTAACGAATAACGAAAATAATCGAGCAATTTCAGCTTAAGGATTAATCAGGAAACCAACACTTAACTATTGCAAATTTAATTGCTAATTTAGTGCATGTATATTTTTAAAAAATTTCAAAAGTTTGGGCTTTCATTATCGTAGGAAGCTGCTAATATTAGTATTTCTGATTATGTCCGTACTTTTGCCAGGAAGTCACAGAGAAAATTAAAGTAACAATTCCTCGGATTTTTTAATGGCGACTTCACGCTTGAAAATTTTCCTTCACGAAAAGAAAAGTCATTTAATTACTTGAAAAAATATCAGGAAGCCATGAGCCATGGGCTTTATATATTCATCTAAATATTTTTTTAATAGAAATATATTTTTTATGTATATATAATGCCTACATAAAAATGAAGAGAATCTAGCGAT